TTGAAACATGTCTGAACCTAGCTGAAATAACAACCTAGGTTTATTAACCCATGGTTTATTAACCATGAAGAACCCATGAAGGAAACATATGGTTTGATACTAGGGGGTGAACTGTAGGTTGTTTGTGGTTGACAAACCATGGCTCACTATTGTCTCTGGGTTCAGACCAGACAATAACCTATGGTTCAGTGACAGCCCATGGTTCGATAGAAATGCATATTCAACCTTGGATTGTAGGTAGTTGTGTCGTCTGAACCCGGCCAATTTAATCTGATATGTTTTTCAGAATGTACAGTTGGTCTTTCCTGGAGATGGTGGGTGGGTTGCACGAACATGCCATCTAACGTTCAGGATCTCAGGAGCTGATGCGTGACTGTGCACTTGGCATACGCCCTCACGTCCCACATGCCCGTGTTTCCTGACAAGCTCCCTGCACCACACCAAATGGCTGATCCCTGCCCTTAGTGCGGAGTCCTTTTCCTTGCTCCAAGCTGACTGCCATGCTAAGTTCATCTATTCATAATTCATATCTGTGCTTTTCGCCGGGCATTTGACAGGCAGCTCTGACCCCTTCTGCCCTGCCTTCTCCAGATTAGATTTACAGGTGCAAGCCACTGCGTGGATGCACAGGCTTGCATGAGGGAGGGGCAGAGAGGAACACTTGCTAGCAAAGCTTCTTGAGAAGTTCATCAACCTGAGAGACAAGATGCGGGGCGGGGAGTCATCTCTCTTTTATGAAGCTGGCTCGGTGAGCCACTGGTCCAACCAACCAACCTACTTTGATGCTCCAAATATTTCCCCTGGACTATGGAATGCAGAGGTAACTGGGGTGGGCTCAGAGTTAAGATGGAGGATGGAAGTGTGAGCGTGTCCCCTTCAAAGATCCGTGTGAGGTCCACTGAACCCATTGCAGATTTGCCAAACATCCAAATGTGCGCACGTTTCTTCAATGGACTGAGTCAGACTCACTTTAGTCTCTAGCGGAAATTTGCCCAAACAAGGACATTTGTCCAGCTCATGGGAAATGTGTGCAAATCTCCTGTGAGCCGCCCCGAGGCTTCGGCGAATGGGGCGGCATAAAAATGTTTTAATAAATAAAAAAATAAAAATTTCCCATTTACACAGAGCAGGCAGTGGCTGCAAACAGCAATTTCTTAACATCCGGAAGACCAGCCTTGGTTTTGGCAGCACCATGATGTCAACTTTTCTGTTATCACCACCTTCCTTCCAAAGTTTTCCATCCAGCGTCGTCATTCCATGAAGTGCCGTATGTTCAGCCAGCTTAAAAACCGAAATTCTTTCCCCAGCCATACGTTGTAGAAAGAGCTTGCTTCTTCTCCGGAGTTGTTTCACAATTCCCATGAACCTATCATGTATGTGCCACACAGCAAGTGCCTCAGTGTGATTGTACATACCACACACAGGATCTCATTGGGACGACATGATGGTCGGTTTGTCACTAGCATTCCATCAGTGCATTGCTGTGTGAACAACACATTTATTCTGTTGTGCTTTCAAAATCTCTACCTAGCATCACAACCTTAAGGAACACATACTGAGACCATAAGGAAATTGTGTATCACCTGTGTCCGAACATTAACAGTACTTTTATTGGAATAGGCTGACCCAGTACTGCATTCAATTATTAGCTCATCATGCATTAAATTATCCTTATTTGCTTGAAAAGGCACAGAACATTTTAATGTAAAGAAGGGACTATTCCTGGAAACAAAGAATACGTAGCAGGCCCATGTTAGTGACAAGATCCCCAGCTCAGATTGTGGCTAAAAGAAATGGGAGGATAAGCAAGACAAACGGCCATCATTAAAGCCAGCCAAAAGCCTGGTGAAGCAGAAAGAGCCATTTGGCTCCCCTGGAAACCAAGAGAGGAGGAGACAAACAGGTTTCCTGAAGGAGAGAGCTCCAGAACCGCTGTTGGACAGGTACTCGCTCATATCGAGCTGACCCTCTGAAGGTGAAGGGTCACACAGCAGGAATGTGAAGGAGGGGCACAGTGGCCAGGAAGGAAGCCTTGGACAGGAGGAAGTGACCCTTCTCCTCCTCCGGGACTCGGAGGCAAATGCACCAAGCCTCTGACAGCAAACTCCCTCTCTGCCTCTTCCTTCCTGTCAGAGGCTCAGCTGACAGGACATCTCAGCAGATCTGGAAGCACAGATCCTTGAACCCGGGATCACTGCACAGCAGTGCAGAACCCTTTCCCCACCCGAGGGCCTGATTGCATTTCTGAGAAGCCCTGGGGGGGCCACATGCCAGTGGTGGGTGGAGCTGAAGGCAAAGGGGGAGGAGCCAAAGACAAACGGGGCGTGTCAAAAGCACCAGCCTACTCTAGCTCTGAAGGAAGCCTTCAGAAAGACTCTTCGACCTTTCCAGATGGGGTGGGGGGTTCCGTGAAAAGCCAGGACGGGGCCAGGAGAAAGAGGAAGGCTTGTCTGGGGAAGTCCAGCTGGCCAAACTGGAACTCCAGATAGTTTGTCCCCTGCTCCACAGCTGATGTGCTTAGCTGTGCTCCTTTCCTTCCGCATTACCTTGCCAAACTCACGGGTGCAAAACAAGAACAGCAAAGACTTCTGACAGATGTCTGTGTGCATCTGCCCTCACCACTTATCTTCTAGGTCTCTGATATCTGAAATGCTCTTGGGCAGCAAGCAAGGCCTCTGTATACCAAAGACAAGAGATGTCAGCACGTTTGTTTGAAAGCCTGTTACAAGACAGCGGTCTGTGAAGGGTTTGCCAGCGGAGCAGTAGTGGATTAATGGCTTTGTTGGGCTGCAGCAATTGTCTGCGGCTGAGAACTGGACAGGGAGCCTCGGAGTGGCACCTTTTCCACTGAAAAGGCCATTCATGGCGCTGGTAGCAAAACGGGGCCCCGAAAGGCCTGCAAAATGCAGGTTGATCTGAGCAGTACCAAGAGACACCAAGAGCATTGAAGGAATGAAGAAAACCGGGCCCAAAGGCAAGTTGAGAGCTTTTGTGGTGATGGAACAAGGCGAGGGGGAGAGAAGTGAGGGGGAAGTGGATTACCGCAGGGGCTGGCTTGGCCAAGGCTCTGCACTTCAGATTTGGAGATATTTAGGAAGAATCGAAGTCACCTGTGTCAAAGAAGAGATATGGAATATTGAATGCAGAGTGGTAGAACAGGGGCGCAGAATAGAATAGGAAAGCAAAAGAAAGTGTGCATGAATTTACAGTGGAAATTCAGGAAGTAGGTTCCAGCGATGGAACACAGGAAGTAGCCAAAAACCTACTTGGAGACTCCCCCCACTGCCAAATGGTATTGTATGCACCATGGATGGGGCAGCTACAGCCTTGGGGCTCCATGGAACACCAGACCTGACCTCTTGCAGTCTTCAGAGGAAGGACAAGGGAGTGAGAAAGGATGGATGGAGTGGCAGAGAGAGAGAAAGTGCTAGCTGGACAATCCTACAATTCACAAAGCCTGCCCACTCCAGGCTCTGCCTCCACCCACTGCCAGCAATAAGCCCACCGGCCCACCATGAGCTTGTGGCCAGGAGAATAACCCTGAGAACATTGATGGGAGGAAAAAAAATAAAGGCTCTCCAGCCCTAATCACCAATGCCTGCAACAGTGGCTGTCCAGAGTTTCAGGAAGAGCTTTCCCAGACCTACCTGAAGATGCTGAGGCCTGAACCCGGGACCTTCTGCCTGTGAGACATGTGCTCTCCCAAGAGATGAGACACATCCACCCATCCACAGTGAACAGCGCTTCTAGAGTCCCTGGGGAAGGAGCTCGACCAGAAGCATGATGAACCAAGGAAGCCACAGTTACAGAATATTGAGAAGTTGTCTTTCTCCAAAGGAAAACCAGGAGGTTCAATGGGGACATGGAGGGGTCATCAGCGAATCCTACGGCAGTGGCTGTCCCATGGGGGCAAACCTATGATGATTGCAGCACCAAGGATAGCTCCTATACCTCTCCTAATAACAGCCACAATGGAGAAGGATCCCACTGACGGGGGGATCAGGGGGACCAGCGTCCCCAGTTAATGGGGTGCTTGGAACATCTGAGCGAAGTAGATGCGTGTCACAGCAAATCTGCTCTGTATTACGGTGCTGCTCGGTTTTTCCTGCAACAGACTAGCACAAACCCTCCCTCTCCCTGGAATATACAAACACTAATGCTTCTAAAAAGCTCTGGGGATTCTGCGCAGCGTTCCCAATAAGTCGGAGAATTCGGAACGCAAATTTACTTTTCAGCATGCAGGGCAGGTCTTTATATCTTGAGTTGGGATGCGAGGAAATGGAGGCATGTAAATTATGTCGCGGCAGTTTTTGATGTTTCGATAAGATTTAGATCTGATCTGCATTTAAACAGAAAAGTAGAAAATGGCATGAAATTCAGATAAGTGCAAGATGATGCATATTCTGGTGGCAGGAATATTAAATATACCCACATAATGGAACACGGGGCCTGGCTGGTAATGGATTGTGGGGAAAAAAATAGTTCAGGGTTTTCATAGATCATTCCTTCAGATCATCGCCACCACAAAGTGGGAGTTAATAAATTCTTCGACGTGCACTTTTGCTTCTATATTTTAACTAGCAGTAATGAACGGGTCATGTCAGCTCACCTAGAAGGGGGTAAAACACTGAGGGAAAGCATGATTTGCTAATTTCCTTCCAGATTGATGGCCAAGGCAGGAGGTCACAAATAAGGAGACTTGAGGAAGGAAATGGAGAAGTATCCTGGAGAGGCAGTGTGGTATAGTGGTGACAGTGCTGGACTGGGGTCCCAGGATATGCAGGTTCTAGTATCCTCTCAGGCATGAAGCTGACCAGGTGACTTTGGGCCAGTCACTCACTCTCAGTCCTACCTCACAGGGTTGTTGTGAGGATGAAATGGAGCTGTGTCAGCTGTTTTGACTTCCCTCGCAAGAGGAAAAAAAGTGTGATATAAATGCAATATAGTAATCATACCAATATTTTCCCCCCACCTGCCTCTCTTTTCTTCCCCATCCTCAGGTCTCCGACAGATGTGACTATGTCTTTGTGAACGGGAAGGAAATGAAAGGCAAAACCAACGTCCTTGTTCATTTCACATACCAGCACCTGAGCGCCCCACTAGAGATGACCGTGTGGGCTCCCCGCCTCCCTCTGCAGATCGAGGTCTCTGACACGGAGCTCAACCAAATCAAGGGCTGGCGGATCCCCATCGTCTCCAATAAGAGGTTTGCCTCGTCCAAGGTTGCTCCAGTGGGTCTTGGCACTTGGCAAAGAACCAGCTGGTCACAGGCCTTTTCCTCCAAAGCAAACTGAAAGCCGGCACATGTGCTTGCTTTTCTTACCTTGAACCTGACCTGCTTCAAGGACTATGCAGCTCTTGAAGGTTGTCTGCACTCTAAAATAAACATAACAGAGAGAGGTGCCAGGTCAGGTCTGTCCAGCAATTGCTTGTCTCCATCTGGGTGCAGAAAGGACATCAGCCCTGGGGCCAAATTGTCCCATGTGGGGTCCTCTTCCAGCCTTGCAGAATGCACATCACCTTGATCATCAGCGGCTTGGTACTTTCCTGACCTTGTGCCATTTTTCTCCCCGTTCCAGAATAGTGAAGTGCCTTTCACTATTGCTGGCAGTTGGCGCTCAAAGATGCTAGCTTTTTTGGACCCCCCTGGTTTTCCTTTGGACCCAGCCACCACTGGAATATTTCCCCTGGGAGCATCTCAAAATGCAGTTTGGCCCTTGGACCAGAAGAGGTCCCGTATCCCTTGCCCACCCTGGTGGGCAGAGGATCTTCTGGATTTCAGGGCAGGTGCTTCCTCAGCTCTGTGGGGAGAGTCTGAGGAGTGAACCAGATCCCCCTTTCCCCTCTGTCCTCTCTGTTTATCTGGCCTATATCTGGTCCCACCATTCTGCCATTGGCTCCGTCCACAAGTGAAGCATGGCCCCAGCCAGGACATATTTCCCCTTGGCCATTTGGCCTTCAGACAGAAAATAAGGGAAGCTGCCCACCTCTACTTTAGTCCCTGGAGTGGTGCTGACTGTCAGAATTCACCCTTCTGGGCCCGATGGACAAAGAACCCAACTTGGTAGGGAGCAGCTTTCTCCATCCGGTCGGAGTGATCTTAAAGTGCCTGGGTTCTCCTAACCCTTCTGCCTCATTGCCTTGACAGGCCAGCCAGAGACAGCGATGATGAAGAGGAAGATGAGCGGAAGGGGCGAGGCTGCACCCTGCAGTACCAGCATGCCATGGTGCGGGTCCTCACTCAGTTTGTGGCTGAACCCTCAGACCCCGGTGGCCCGACGGCTTATCTGCTGGGCTCGGACTGGCAGGTGGACATCACCGAGCTGGTGAGCGATTTCATACAGGTGGAAGAGCCCAGGATTGCAAGGCTGCAGGACGGGCAGGTGCTGGTTGGACAGGAGCTCGGGATGACGACAATTCAGGTGAGAGGTTGGAGAAGAGGATGTGGGAGCCGCTTTGCCCATTCGGCCCAAGGTCCAGCCCGCCCACTGTGTGCTGCAGGGCTTCGGGAGCCCTTGGGCAAGACGCGTTCAATGGGGGACCTCCCTCAGGGGAGGGACCTTCCCACTGCTGTTGCCACCAGCTGCTCCTGGTCCTGCTCCTCTCTCTCAGTACTTGTGTGCTTAACCAGCAGAATACCAGGGATCAAGAAACAGTTGAACAAACAGCTTGCAGTGATGAGGAACAGGAGGGGGGGAATTTGTCACTGGGCAGCCCCTGTTGGGGTTTGGACCCTTGGCTGGTACCCAGACATACCTACCTTTGATTTTGGCCCTCACCTTGCATACAACATCCTGCATCCAACAGGGACCAACTAGGTGCCTTTGGGATTTTTATCCGTGGTTCAGTTTTCCCTCCCTGGTATTCTGTTCCTCTTCTTGAATCACTAACCTTTCATAGCCACTGTGCATGTGCAGTTCTCACAGGGTAGGTTGGGGAGTCCCTTAATTTTTTTTGTATTATTTCTGCAAACCTCGGTGTTCCCCCGAGATTTCTGCTCATTCCCCTTTGCAAATGGCTGGTGTTGTTTTCACTACACAAAGACTGGCGCTCGTGCAATGAAGTCACTGTGAGTTGTATTATGTCATATTTGCTTTCCAGCAGTGGAATCTTTAGGCAGGTCTTCATGCCGGTGAAGGAAAAGTCTGACAATAGCTTGTCCTTGGAGGCTTGATGAGGGCAGCAAGTTGGGCAGAACTGGGTTGGTTGCAGTTGTTCATTTGTGCAGGGCCTGCAACTTAGCACAATCCAACACATTTGGCCATGGGCTGCTGTTGTGGGAAGGGGTGTGATAGCAGCCTGCAGCTGCAGCAGCAACTTCCTAATGCAAGAGCAGTCTATCTGAATAATGAACATTTTGAATTAGCTCTTAAGGTTCACTGCTATTCTTGATTCACTCAGCCAGGCAGGCCAGACCATTTGGAGCTGGCTTCAGGCATACAGATAACAAAGTTGAGGGATGGAGGGGATGAAACAGGAGAAATAAATATTATGTTTCAAGAAGAATGCACTGAAAGGGTTTCTAAATCCATCTTCACACTGTTGGATATCTGGATTTGGGGCACTGCCAAGGGACCTCCCCAAGTATCCAATAGCAGCACTTGCCTTGTGCTCAGAATAAATCTCCATTCTTGGAAAAATGGCTTTTGGAAGTAGGAATGGTCTACAGCTCTCCGTAAAGACCTGTATTTATCGTTACAAAAACTCTGCATCTTGTCTGGCCTTCCAAGAGTGTCCATAAATATAAAGAATATCTCCAGGAAGGGAATTCAGAGAGAGAGAGTCATTGCTAGTCAGTCCATCCACTTGAAAGAATATGTATAGCATGTCACTTGAGAAATTGTCAAATTGTCAGCTGCTTTTGAAATGCCAAGATCTCTGAGATAACTCTTCCTGCATCCATCTGGTTTAGCTTCTTTTTGTAAGTCTTGCTTGTCTTGACCTAAGGGAGGAAAGGAAAGGAAAGGAAAGGAAAGGAAAGGAAAGGAAAGGAAAGGGGTCACTGCCCCAGTGAGTTTACAATCTATGTTGTGGAAGAAAAGAGTCGAAAAAGAAAATGTAACATGCCATGCTTTGCGATATTGTTCAGTCTGCATTTTGAAGCAAGCCTGATTTAAGCCACATCTTCAAGGCTAATGTGAACATCAGAACATACTTTATCCATTTGATTCTGTGGTTCTCAGCTGAAAAGTGTGTACCAACCTCAGTGTTAAAATAAATCTTTTAGGATAAAATGCAATGAGAAATATATATTTTGAGAGAATATACACTTAAGAGTGTGTCTTCTTTGAGAAATTACATTCAAAGATATTCATTTTTGAAGTATGCAGCAGAAGAATGCAAACTGGTCCAAGACAGAACTCTCATTGGGCAGGCCCAGAGCAGGAGTAAACTGGATGCCGGCTTCCTAACTTCCATATGCTCCCAAATATCTCTTTTTACCAGGTGTAGTCTATGTTTTCTTGGTCCTAATCCCTGTTGTCAATTTCCCGCTCTCATGTTAGGAATACAGCTCGATTAACACAAGTGTGATCAATTAATCATGAGTTTCAGTTGATCAATCCATCCATGAAGTTGTAAAAACATTGGTTTGGAGCCATTGTTTGGATCCATTCCGACAATGGTTTGGTTCATCGTGGGGATCACGTTAGCCAGGACTGACTTAAATCTCATTGATTTCAGTGGGTCAATTCCAAGGACGACCAAGTCAAGATCCAACTCATTGAATGAAAAATACAAAATGCAGGTCTTTGGGCAGCCTTGTCTGTACCTGTTTTCCCAGTGCATTCTAAAAGAAATGCATGAGTGTATAAATTTAGGCACAGTCCTGAGGATGGATCAATGCAGCTGAAGCCGTTGTGGTTGTGCATGAATCAACAAAAGACAGTGCAAGCCCCCAGATGGAGAAACAAGCTTTAAGGAGAGGGTTGGAGAGCGCTTGAGTCGTTTTCGGCTCACCGGGAGAGTGTTGGCATGCACTGATGAAGTGCTACCCTGGGGAGAAGCGATACTTCACGTGCTGATCCTAGCCCTGTTTTCCTTTTCGCACACAGATTCTATCCCCGCTTTCCGATGCTATCTTAGCGGAGAAGACCGTGACGGTCCTTGATGAGAAGGTGACCATCACTGACCTGGGAGTCCAGCTTGTGAGCGGGCTGTCACTCTCTCTGCAGCTGAGCCCGGGAAGCAACAGAGCCGTCTTCGCCACTGCCGTCGCTCAGGAAATACTTCAGTCACCAAAACAGGTACAAAGGTTTATCCCGTGTCTGCCGAGGAGGGGCCACCATGAAGGGGGCTTGCTGCCTTTGAGGACGTCCTGCAGGGGGGCCAGCTGTCCTGTAAGAACAGTCCTCTTTTGGAAGGGTTCTGACAGGATAGGCTTCTATGTGAAGGCATTCTTCATGGGTATAACCACGACTGATTGAAGGATGGATGGATGGATGGATGGAATGATCGATCGATTGAATGACTGATGGGAGGCATCCTCTCTTTGAAAGGTTGTCCAGCCCAAGTCCAGTTTGAAGATAAAGAAACATGAGAAGGGGAAAGAGAACACATGGCAACATGGGTTGCGTTTTATTTCAGCGACAGCAACATCTATTTCTTCTTCTGATTGTTTTTGGTGATGCTCTATCTATTTCTCTCTCTCTCTCTCTCTCTGGCGATGGGTCACCCAAATCCATAGCCCAGTGAGTTGATAACTGGGCCAAAGTTTTGTTTTGTTTTGTTTTTGAACAAGAAAATAATAATAGGAAGAAAAATGTTCCAGTGTATTATTATAGGCATGGAGATCACCATATTCATCAGTGCATTCAGAACACATCGAAACTGGACTTTACGGATGGAACCAAAGGAGGCAGGGGAAGTGTCTGCAAAAAACCAGGTGCTTTCCTCCCAGCATCGCTCAGCATATGGCTGCCCTTTCTGAGGCCTGCTCCGCTTGAGAACTCTCGCCAGCCAAGCTGGTGACATTGGGCTGAAGTTATTTTATGATGATTAATATTATTCTAAAAAGGCATTCTAAATTTATAGGCTCTCACACCCGAAGGCCACCAAACAGCTAAATAGGGAAAACAAAGTTCCAGTAAATACGCCTGTAAAACTGGAACAAGTGCAAGGGAAGAATAGCTTTCCATCTCTCGTGTTAGTCCCTCATAAATAACGCGCCCTCACACAATTCGCCAGCCATAAATATACTATGTGTTTCTCTAAAATAAATAAATACAGGGCATACATATCTTACCATGTATCTCAACAGATGCCCACTTGACTATCTATATACAGCCAAGAAATTAAAGGGAAAGAGTTATACCTTTCTTTCTCTTGTCATAAAGTTTATAGCCACGGCCTTTGTTTTTATTCTGCTTTTAAATCCCATTGGAAGGGCAGGGAAATGTTCTGTCCTACACACACACACACACACACACACACACACACACACACACACGATCTGATTTTGCAAGTGCCAGGTGCAGCGAAGATTATTGCCAATGGATAAAATATGATCTGGGGCCCAATTCAAAGAACGTGGACCCATGAAGTCCTAAATACATCAGGATGTGGGTAAGCGAAGGAGCATCTTCTTCCAGAAAGCTTGCCCAGAATTTAAGATTCATGTTAGAGGGAGACCTCCTTGGAGAAGTTCAACAGGTCATACTGGCAACCTATTGTCCCTACAAGTTGGACCATCTTTTGTCTCTGCTCATTTTTTCCTAGAAGCTCAAAGCTGTTAGTCAGTCAAGGTGCAGAATAGGGACTTGGGGGGCAGCACACACTTAGAGTTTAAATAAAACACACTCAGAGTTTAATAAAATAAATTTAAAAATAGTTAAGGAATGGGATGCCATGATGCAGCTGGTAAGACTGGGAAATTTTGCTGCACTCATGCTTCATCCACCCAAGAATCCACTCGTATTTCCCCCCCACCCCCGAGCCTCCCTTTAGAAGAATGAAACTTTCCTCTCTGTGTTAAGAAGCAGAATTATACATTGCAAAGTTGAAGCATGTGCCCCCAAAAGTGGTGGTTGCTGTGACAGGAAGCCACAATCGTGCCCACGGGGACCACAAGTGGCCTGGGGGCCATTGGAGTTCCCCCCATTGGGGAAAAGTAGATCAACTGTGTTAGGTTAAAGGGAAAGCAACACTTATTCATCTCAGAGTCTCTTTTATCAGGCTGGTGGGCAAAATGACCTAAGGCTGCGTCTTTGGTCAGGCGATCGAAATGAGGGTTTCCTGTACACTCTTTGCAGAGTGTAGCAATCAAGAGACTCACAGCTAGAAAGCTGGAACAGCCAGCTAATCCCTTGCTGACCTGGGGAGCTAAATGCACCACCTTGAAATCAGCTCAAAAGCGGGTTTTGATGGCGCGGAAATGGTGCATTTCAGTTTCCGAGAAATTGAGTCGCCTTTGACTCCATTCTGTGGGTATGGATGGGGCATGTGAGGGGTGGATGAAAGTTTAGAAAAACAGCTGGGGAAGGTGGTAACTGATCCTTTCTCTGTGTGAAGGGGCCTTGTCGGATTTGACAGGGGGAGAGAGAGAGAGAGAGAGAGAGAGTGTGTGTGTGTGTGTGTGTGTGTGTGTGTGTCGGAGGGAGGGGTGTACTTCCAATCCCAGAAGGCTTCCAGGGCCGCTGGTCCTGCTTTTTGCTCTCAGGGCCTCTTCAGCTGAGTAAGTGAGCAGTAAGAAATGAGCCAAGGTGGCTTCCATGCACAAAGATTTTGCAGATTTAATGCTGGGGATTGTATAAGGATTTGCACAAGGTTGCAGGTGCGACTGGTGCTGATTTCTCCTTTTGTAGATGTTTTCCCTGAAGAACTGAATCAGCTTTGCTTCAGCTTATGGAGGAAAGAGGGGGAAATGTGCGCAGATCTGGGGAAATTTGCATGAACTTCACAGCTGATCACAGCCTGGTTTACGGAAGCATCTCATTCATGCAAAGCAGACAGCGATGCAAACGCTAATGCAGTTGGGCAGGACATGAGTAGCGACAGGAAATCCAGAGAATCCTAGAAATCTTGAGCAGAAAACAGCTGCCCATCCCTAAGACCCATAACAGAAGGGACGCGCACACATCTGCAGTTCTCCCCTCGTACAAACAGAGAACGAACGGCACACTTCAGCTCACCCCATAATGGCACACTTCAGCTCACATCCCATAATGTTCCACCATCTCCTCCCACTAAGTAGACAAGGCCTGAGGCTTGCTTTTCACCATGACCTGCATGCAATGTGAGGAGACATTGCATCTTAAGTGCGAGTTTTAAAGCAATAATATAATAAGCGCCTGGATCGGGGGGAATTTTGCCCCATGTTCAAACACAGAGCCATAGTAAATGATCCCAATCGCCTGTGATGCTGTTTGACATGTCATTTATTAGTGTTTCAAAGCAGACTCCAGAGACCTCGGGGGGAGTTGGCTCTCTCTTAGCACTTTGGTGGGAAACAAATCTTATTACCAATGACTATTTAAAATGAGTCCTTTAAAAAAACCAACTCAGTGAGGAATTAGATTCTTCCTCGGCCTCGGGTTGCTGCCGGAAGCTTCGTTCCCTTGATCTGTCATCAAAGCCACTTGGAGGGGGGGGGCACAAGAACGAGGGCAGAGGACGCTTGCTGGATTTCCTGCTGCTGCAGGCAAGTGACAACCGTGGAAGAGAAGGGAAGGGACGGGCTAGCTTGCTCGTGTGCATACAGATGCCATGGCCTGCCAGGAGCTCTCCAGGGAGACATCCTGCCAGCCGACAGTCTTGTCACTTCTGCTGGTCCAGAAAGCACCAGAGAGAAGTTCCCTGGTGGAATTCCATTGTGGGACAGGAGTGGGCCTGTGGAACTCGATGGCGAGTGCTGGGCCACTAAGAAGGACTTCCTGAGGCAGAGACCAAGGGCTCCGGTCCTCCTCTTGGGTGGAGAAAAGATCTGCCTGCATTGCTTGGGCAACACTTCAGCAAGTCCGCCTTGCCACCACCAGCTGCCCCTGCCCCTCACCCCCTCTCTCTTGTCATGGTGGCCGCTGGCCTGCTGGCAGCCAGAGGCCCGGGGCATCTCCACCGGCTCCTCCTCGTCTCCTCCATGGTCTGAGCCGGAATGAGGAGGCGGCAGGTGAGCCGGCTGCAAACAGGGAAGGGGGCAGCAACGCCAGGGGGCTCATGACGGTGGGCCACTGGTGGGGTTTAGGCCCTTGGCGGGTGCTGCCGGAAGCACTACGGCCTGCCAGGACCCACCCAGCTTGGCACAGCTACAATGTGCTGGTTCCTGGCTTGTTCCCTGGACAACTGCATGGGCTGGAGGTGGCCGAGGCAAGCTCCATGGGGAAGCCTGGAAAGGCCTTCTGTGCAGGCCTGCCTACATGAAAGAAGCAGCAAGCGGGCATTTGCCCTGCCAGGTTGTCATGGACCATGGGGGAAGCCCTTTGTTCTTTAACCCTTTCATCTGCGGCATTCATCTGACTGTGTGTTTGGTATCATCAGAACTGTTGTAAGATGCCCCAACTGCTGCTCATGCAGTGGAAGGGTGGGATATATATTCTCTGAAATGGTTAAGAGCACAGGAAAACAGCCCTGCTGGCTCAGGCCAAGGGCCCATCCAGCCCAGCTTTCTGTCCACAGAGGGGCAAATCAGCTGCTCACAGGATCCCTCAAGCAGGAGGAGGCCCACCCACCCAAGCTCCTCAGGAGCTGCTCTGGGCAGGCTTGCCGCCTCTGCCAAAGTAGGTAGCCCGTACGTGGACAGCCGCCTCCTCCAGGCATTTGTCCAAACCCTTTGTGAAGCCATCCAAATTAATGGCCATCTCCACTTCCTGTGGCAGTGAATCCACCAGTTAACAGTGTGCTATGAGAAGAAATGTGTACCAGAGATTGAAGCTGGGAACTTCGACGTGCACTTGGTCACTCCCAGTTAGCTTCCCAATTCAGTGCGTCACATGCCTAAGTTCCCAGATTCAGCATGAGAAGGGTCCTTGCCTTGGCGCCATCCTCTGGACTGTGCTTTGAGGAGGACCATGGAAGAGGCCCTCCATGTGGCAGGTTTGCACTGGGAGAAGCACTCCATCAGGTATTGCAGGATGGAGGATGTACTACAATGGTTTGTTGCAGGTCCTACTTGTAGTAATGAGTTACTGCTTCTGTGGGTCATCGCCCACTACAGCACCACTCAGTTATGCAAGTCTGCAGGGAAGCATGGCCAAGGAAGTCCAGAATATTTCATGCACAACCCTGCAATTTCCCACCTCTGAATCTTGATTCCACCTTAGGAACTTGACCCTGTTTTCTTTCCATCATAGGAAGCTGCCATCAGTTGTTGGATCCAGTTCAGTGATGGGGCTGTCATGCCCTTGGACATTTACGATGTCAAGGATTTCTCTTTGGTGGCCACATCTCTGGATGAGAAGGTAGTCTCTGTCCACCAGAGCCCGAAATTTAAATGGCCTCTCGTCACAGCTGAGTCAGAAGGGCAGGGGCTGCTGGTGCGGGTGGAGATGGTGATCAGCGAATTGTGCCAGAAATCGAAAAGGAAGAGTGTTATGGCTGTTGGGACTGGGAATATCAAGGTCAAGTTCGGGCAGAATGATGCCAACCCCAATACCAGCAACAGCAAGCGCGGTGGGATTGGCATGCCCCTGGAAAACCATACCAGCGACCGGCGTCAGAAGATAACCTTGCAGGAGAGGTCCCGGCAGGATGGGCCTTATTACACTTCATCCATGGGCCAAGAGGAAGCCAGAGGGGTCAGCACCCAGAAGTCCATCTTGAGTAAAAAGGAGGACCGTGAGAGTCTACTGGATGATGATAGCCACATGCAAAACCTCCCAATAGACTTCACCAGTTTCCCAGCACAGGTGGACCTGCCAAGGAGCAATGCAGATTCCGAGGAGGATGACCTGGAGGAGATGCCCCGGGGCCTCAGTGACTTGGAGATTGGGATGTATGCTTTGTTGGGAGTCTTCTGCTTGGCCATCCTGGTCTTCCTGATCAACTGCGTCACCTTTGCTTTGAAGTACAGGCACAAGCAGGCTCCCTTTGAAGAGCAAGAAGGCCTGAGCCATTCTCATGACTGGGTAGGGCTGAGCAATAGGACAGAGCTGCTGGAGAACCATCTCAATTTCTCCACACAGCAAGAGGAGTGCATTACAGCCATTGACCGAGGCATGGACTTGGAAGAGAGCAAGTACCTCCTCACAGCCAATGCCCAGAAAAACCTCAATGGCCAAGTCTTCCGAGCTTCAGATTCTGCCCCCTTCCCTGAAGGGAAGGAGCAGAAGAACGAACAGCCTGCCTCACCAACCTCCAAGCGGAAACGTGTCAAGTTCACCACCTTCACCACCATCTCTTCGGATGGCGGGTGCCCCACCGTCAACTCCATCCTGACCAGCAGTGCAGACGATATCAAATGGGTTTGCCAGGACATGGACCTGGGGGAATGCAAAGAACTAAGAAACTATATGGAACGGCTACATGAAAATGCATAAAAATACAGCAGAAACTGCTTTCTTTTCTTTCTTTTCTTTTCATTTCTTTTTCCACTCACCTTTTTGCCTTTAATTTGGTGTATTGGGGCAAAAACAAACAAACAAAGAAAGAAACCAAAATTGACCATTTGTGAACAATCAAAATGGCAGATGGTTTTGGTTTCCATGGAGCCATGAAGACCAGTGGGAGGATGAGAAAGGTCCCAACTGGCCAGTGTTATCTGTGCTTAGTGATTCTTGAGAAAGATGGTTTGGGAAGCGTTCTGATGCAAGGCAACTTACATGGGAAAATAAAATTTCAGGAAAAAAAAGAACTGAGCAATCTAATAAGATCTCATTATTTAAGCCTTTCCAGCAATTAGTGCTAAATAGCAGATTCCAGCATAAAGCTTGGATAGCATTAAACATACCCAAATTTAATTCCAGTATGTCAGGGCTGCGGTTTAAAGCAGGCACCCAGGTGGGAATAGTCGGAAAGCCAAAAGCAACAAGTCAACCGTGCTGAGAAGAGGACAGTATGCAAATAAAACATTCATTTAAGAGGCCATCAAAACCAGAAACATGGGCATGGGCTGTTTTGGCTTCCCTGGGAGTAGGGAAGTGCCAAAGAATGTGGAGGAAAAGTTTGACACGTAACTATGTTTGACGGGAGGATCTCCCAACTGGTTCATTGTCCTGTCATTCCACGAGAAAGTTTCCTCCGTACCCTTCAGTGTGCTGCCATGTGCAATGAATAACAAAACTCCCTTTTTGAAGAAATATGACTGTATGGCTCTTTGACACTCCCAAAATGCAGTGCTGAGCATGTTTTTTGTGGAAGCATGACCAGCTTTTAGGTTTGACGAGGAGGCGAGCTCAGCTGCTCTGCCCCAGAACTATTAGGGACCCTCACAAGCTGAGTGTCTCTGCTACCATCTTGGATTTGTCTTGGCCCAGGTTCCAGGCAGGTCCAAGGTGTCAACTTCCTGAATCGCTAAGGATGGATGCCGCAGAATCCAGAGTGTTGGCACAAGGAATTCTGGGTTGATCTGTCCATATGCTGGGTTGGGAAGCAGGTGGCCTTCTCAAGTCCTAGGAACCCTGGATAGCAAACCAATGGTGAGGGATGGTGGGAGTTGTAGGCCATCTGGAAGGCCAGAAGATGCCCACCTCTGTTCTGTAATGCTTCTCTTCCCCACTGGCTTCCCTCTATTTAGGATAATTCCAGGGTTCTCATAGGCCGTGTTGCCTATGCTTGTCTCAGTAACAGCTCCTGGAAACAGCCCTGCTTGGCAGTGAATCCTCTTAAAACTGGTGAGGTTTCTTCCCTGTGTTTCCTTTCCTTCAGATTATTCCTATGAATGTCTATGCAGGCATACACGACATTGCGTTCAATGGGACAAATACCCAGGTAAGTTTCCATAGAACTACAGCCTAAGCATTTCATTTCTTCCTGCTGGAACCTTGTTTTTTAAGCAAAAGATTATAAATTCTAAACTATGGAAATAGCCTGGAAAGACACTCAGTGGGGAAATTGTATTCAGAGGATTGAAGGAAGAACAAAGCAAATCGGGGATTTTAGACTTTGAAATCTGCTTTTGGTATGTGCTTCCTCCTTTTGTGTCCTTCCATACGGTTACATTTTGCAATGCCAAATAGGAGCTGCATAGCATCCCTCATTCAGAATAATCACATGAGTAGCGCTTCTGAGATGGTACCATTTTGGGCTGAAGGTGGGAATTGTTTGTTTGAATGCTCTGGACTCCACTGGTGAGGAAAATCAGCACAGCAGGGGGAAAAGGTTCAGACTAGGTCCTTTCCTAGGTCCACTCCATGGGAAGCTACTTTTCTAACTCTAGGGAATGGGCTATAAATAAATACCATTGATTGGTACACTTCTGGTATGCATGCGACTCACCACTTAATGTTGCAGCTATGAAGCGATACACACGCATGTGGGGCAGAGGAGATGTGCGGTGCTTTAGAAATGCAGCCCTACAGGACCTTGTAATTATTCTGGAATCTCTGTGCCCTCTTTCTCACTGAGCTGCTGGAGATATACCTTTTCTTTGGGGGATTATTCACCAAAGGCAAAAATAATTGCTGGTTAATAATGATCTGCATTGATCCAGAAAATTGACTCCAATGCAGCCAAAAGATTCAATCTGGGAGCAAGAGTTATTTTTCCCAGTGAGCCAACTATGAAGATGAATGGGCTTGACCAGCTTGCAGTGCTGGGGTAAGTAACTGCAGAAAATACGTTCAGACTTCTCTTAGGTAATGGATGGGAGATGTTATCATCTCTGGGACGTAAGCAGAAGGCATCTTGGCTGGAATGCTTCAATCAGGGGTAAGAGAGGTGGATGCAAAGCTTGGCAAGATGCAACAGGGCCTGAGTCAAGAGCAAATCGGGAAAAGGCACCGCATGACATGACCAGAAGCAAAGGAAGAGGCAGGAGTCAAGATACAAGGAAAGCTATTGTAGGAGTGAAGACAGATGCCGCAGAGAAACGAGTTGCTGTGGCAAAAGTGGGCACCCCTGAGAAGGCTTTTTTAGAGCCTTCTGTAGCTGCCAGCTGGTCTGCATGGTGGTACTGGTCCTACTCCTGCAAGTAGGTACAAATTTGCCACCAACTCTGTGAACACTTGCGAAGTGGACCAGACAAGGTTCTGAATTAGTGGGCGCAGCATTGCTCTGCAGACGGTGACTTGGTGCTAGAGTTAAGCAGTGAACGGGCATGCCAGCAATGGGTTAAAGTTGCCAAGTGGACTAGTTGCAGTCATCTCGGGGTGGCAGGGAGGGTAGAGGGAACGATGGAGCCAGCCTAATGCTCCAGAGGAAACTACACTGCTTGAAAAGGTTGCTGCGGCTTCTTTCCAGTCCTACTGTTGGACAACTGTGCATTTCAGCTGTGTGCAATAGAACATCAGCACTTAGAAAACCAGCAATTGGTGTCTCACTGTATTCACAGGTGTATTTTTACACAATGGTTTGAAGAGGCTTGGCCCAACATTGCTTCCTCGGAGCTTTGCAAAGAAACAGAAGGATCAGAACCTTTCAGGCAAGGTTAGAAGTTAGAGGGACTGGTTTCCTCGTAGCTCAAGGCTCATTCTGATGTGCATGTTCATTGATGGATGGTCCATATCACTTGATGGCTTTGGAGAGGGACCATAACTCAGTGGATGAACATGCCCAAGATCTTTGGTATCTCCCGCTGTCACCAGTCAGAGCTTACAATATTGGTCCAGATCAAGGGCACATAAGCTGGTGTCTGGAGACCAAACCTGTCCCTCCGCAGATGCCCACTGGCCATGTCCCTTTGCTGTGGCAACATTTTCTGGGTGATTTTCTGGCACTGGTGCAATTTTCCCCTAAGATTCCTTCTCCCAAGACCCCTTCTCCTAAGACTTTGTTGCTAACATCAAGAGCTTCTGGGTATGAGAGGCTGGGATTCCGTCCCCACCCCTTCTGTCTCTGGCTCCACCACTTTCTTTCAACCCCAGTCACCACTGGAATACAGCACTCAAGAGCATCTGTGAAATGGAATCTGTCCGTCAGGCTGAAATAGCATTCAGCACCTCTGGTCCTGAACCAGGATTCCGGCTTGCTGCAAGGCGGCTTCCTCTGCTCTGGGTCTCAAGCTCATTCCCTTTGGGGGACACCTGCCTGACTCCAAGAAGGTTCCAGTTTTGCTCTCCAGCATCTGCAGATTGGGCAACAAGGGATGGGAGAGACCCTGAGATGGTAGTGGGTTGCTTGCAGAGAGAACGGGCTTTAGTGGGCTAGTTGGACAAAGGGTCTGACTTGGTGAAGGGCTCCTTTATTCCTTGAACAAAATCGTCTTCAATGTGATCCATCCCTGCAGTCCATCACTCATAAGAAGAGGCCTGTCCTTGTCAGACCAAGCCCCGCCTTGTCAGGGAATCTGTGCCTGCAGCACAGCGGTGGCCATCGGGATTTGACCATGATGTGTGCAAATCAAGCCAAGGGGAGTGGAGGTAAGCTGGTGCTGCGAAGAGACGCTTTGGCATGAATGCCCAAAGGGAGTCATCTCACACAGATGGGATGGGGGAAGCCATTTGCCACACCCCCAAATACCCCTTTTGAGTAACTCGCCGGGAAACAGTAAAAGCAGGTGTTTTTAGGGGCTGCTTTCTCTTTAGACCAGGGCTGTGTGACTGCAGTCTGAATGAAACAGTCCAAAAACTTCTTAAGTTACACCATGCCTGGTAACAGCTTCTAGTTTACCTTTGTGCTGATGGGAGCTGGGAACCCCACTGGTGACAGAACCTTTCATCTAGGCGGGGTTTTGCCTAGTAAAGCTGTGTGCTGGGAGAGAGAGTGAAATGGCTCAGGTTTGTGCTATTAATGAGCCGGGATGAGACACAAACTCATCCCCAAACCCTGGCAAGCTCAAAATGCATTCTTTCATGCTCAGCTGAGCTGCACATCATGTGGAAACTCATCCCCTTCAAAGGGGGGAGATAGTGTTGGTATGAAGAGAACATACCTATCCATGGCATCAAGAGATACATTATTCTTTATCTCGTTTATTTATACATGCCACTTCTGCCCCAAGACTCTGCTCTTGGTGGACTTCAGTCAGACCATAAGTCCATGTGGAACCACCAGGACCATGCAACCATCTCACGAGCTCAGCGGCTGGGCAGGAAGGTAAGGAAGAAGGCGCTCCCTCCAGTATCTTTGTCCCAGGATGTGCAGGGCCTTGTACGCTGGGCCTAAAACCTTCACCCTGGCCTGGTCTTGAGTTGGCAGTCAGTGCAGCTCCTTCAGCATGGAGTCGCCTGCTGAGAAGAGGCAGCTGCAACCTCCGGCACTGGCTGCCACTTCCAGGGCTGTCTTCAGGGCAGCCCCACATACAGCGCATCTCAGTAATCCTGTCCAGACATCAAGCCAGGCTCTCCCAGTCCAAGCTGCCCCTTTCATCCACTTGACAGCAGCCGACTTCGCTCCTTCTGCGAATATCACCCAAGTGCTCTTCTCTTCTCCTTCCCTATTA